CCGCTTGCCGAATTCAATCCGGCGGCCCCGGGCGCTGCCCCCGGCGCGCGCGCAGCGCCGCGCGCCAGTCGGCCTCGCGGACGCCCGCCTTCCCTCCCCCTCCCTCACCCCGCCTCCCCTCCCCTCTCCTCCCCTCCCCTCTTCTCCCCTCCTCCTTCCCTCCCCTCTCCTCCCCTCTCCTCCCCTCCTCCTTCCCTCCCCTCCCCTCCCCTCTCCTCCAGCCCGGACCGTGGGCAGCAGCAGTAAGGCGGCCGCTCTCGGCGGCAACGCGTCGGACCCCCCCCGAGCACACGCTGGTCGTTGGAGCGCCTGCCCGCGTCGAGTGCCTTCCTGCTTCAAGAGCCGATCTGCTTTGCGCTGTGCTCCGTTGTTCTCAGGGAGGGCCTGAACGCAGCCTGCTTTGCCCGCCTTGCTAGCTCATGCCTCTACCTAACTGTTCCGACCGACGTGCAATGACACAGAGCGCGAAGGATGTTATTGTTGCTACGTTCGGCCTCCAGGGCCCTCGCCGGGCCCCAGGACCGTCAGACCACGACTCGGGATGAGAAGCTGGTGATTGGGGATGGAGACCCGTGGGGGTCGACGACAGGAAAGAATCATGACGGAGGTGGGGCAGGACCTCCGCGGAGGGCGTGCATTTCCTTGCGATCTTGCATTCGCTCTTGCATCTCCTTGCGATCTTGCGATCGTGCATTCCTTGCAATTTGTCCCAACCCTCCGTTGATGGATTCTCGCGTCATCCTCCCGACTTCCTCCCGCCCCCCCCCCCTATGGGGGGCTGCGATCTGCGAAACGGTCGCCACTTTCACGGTCTGTTGGGGGGCCTCAGCGTAGTGTCGCCATATGCAGAGTATGATGGTCTGAGGGGAGGAGGTGGAGGATGAGGATGAGGAGAAGAAGAGGAGGAGGAGGACTTCCTCCCCCTCCTACTTATGGTGGATGTGGTGGTGGAAGAACAAACCCACCAGAGTCAGACTAGACCTCGACATCCCTGGGGGGCTGCGATCTGCGACATTGTCGCCACTTTCGATGGCTGCTGGGGGGGGCCAGCACAGTGTCGCCATACGCGGATTCAGATTGGACCTCGCCATACCTGAGAGGCTGTGGTCTGCGAACTTGTCGCCACTTCCGAGGGCTGCTGAGGGGGGCAGCACGGTGTCGCCATACGCGGACAAAAGTGGACCTCGCCATACCTGGGAGGTTGTGGTCTGCGAAGTTGTCGCCACTTTCGCGGGCTGCTGAGGGGGCCAGCATAGTATTGCAAACCCAGGTTCAGATTAGACCTCACCACCTCTTGGGGGGCTGCGGTCTGCGAAGCTGTCGCCGCTTTCGAGGGCTGCTGGGGGGGGGACGGGGGGCAGCGCAGTTTCGCCATACGCGGATTCAGATAAGCTCCTCGCCATCTTTGGGGGGGTTGCGATCTGCGAACTTGTCGTCTTTTTCGAGTGCTGCTAGGGGGGCAACACAGTGTCGCCACACCCAGATTAAGATTAGACCCCGCCTTCCCTTGGGGGGGGGGAGGGCTACGATCTGCGAAGCTGTCGCAAGTTTCGATGGCTGCGTGGGGGGCAGCATAGAGTCTCCATACCGAGAGTCAGGTTCGACCTCGTCATTGTTAGGGGGGCTGCGATCTGCGAAATTGTCGCCACGTTCAATATGGTGGAGGGGGGCAGCATAGAGTCGACATATGCGGAGTCAGACCAGACCTCGACATCCCTGGGGGGCTGCGATCTGCGAAATTGTCGCCACTTTTGATGGTTACTGGGGGGGGTCAGCACCGTGCCGCCATATGCGGATTCAGATTAGACCTCGCCATACCTGGTGGGTTGTGATCTGCCAAGTTGTCGCCACTTCTGAGGGCTGCTGGCAGGCCCAGCTCAGTGCGGTGCTACGCAGAACAGAGCGGGACCTCGCCATCCCTGGGAGGCTGCGATCTGCGAAACTGTCGAGGGCTGCGGCCAGCATAGCGGAGGTCTTACGCACATTCAGATTCGACCTCTCCATCCTGGGGGGGGTGCGAACTGCGAAACTGTCACCATTTTCGAGGGCTGATTGCTGGCATACCTCGAAACATTATCTCTGCCTCCTCTGACCGGCTTTTGTCGTCATTCCCGCGCTGCTGCCATGTCCCCTTGCTGCTGCCCCGCTTACGTTTCAAACTCCCTGTCCGCCTTCTCCTCGTAGTCTTGCCTTTTTTCCCCTCGACCTAGGGAACTAACACATCACCTACTTCAATGTCTTGTCCATTGATCGGTGTCCTCCGAGTCGCGCGCCTCGCGAGCCTCCAAAATACAGTTCGCAGACAATAGACCTCCTTGCCACGTTATCACCCCCTTCAAGATCTACCCAGCTACGATGGCCATGCATTGCGCAAAGGTTGGGTACATCGTCAGGGTAATTTCGCAACGGGCGTTGTCGCCACGCAACAGTTCCGGGCCCCGTGAGCTCACAGCTCGATCTGGACCGGAACATCGCGCAGAGAGGTGGGGTCCGGGGCTCCCGTGGAGATTTTTGTCCGACGCTGAAGGTTTTGTTCTGCCACGTCCGATCTGAGGGTCGATCGGGGCAGGACCTCTGAGCAGAGGGCGGGGCTCTCGCTTGGCAGGGGGGAGGTTCTGAGCAAAGCACGGTGGTCGGGGGGCCCTTTTTCGGCCCCTGGGAGGGCCAATGTTTGACACCTCTCACGAGGATCGTGGCCCCCGAGGGGGGGGGGCACCGATCGGGAGGAAAGCCTCCTTTGATCGATGGCCTGGAAGATGGCCCCAAGAGGCGCCCCAGGGCTCCCAAGAGAGCCCCAAGAGGGCTCCAAGCGGGTCCCAAGAGTGCTGCATGTGTTTGCTGGAGGAGCGGCTGGGCGGCTGTGGCGTCGTCAGGGGCAGGGCGCACAGGCTGGCCGCTCCCAGGCCTGCCCGCGTCGTGACGCAGAGAGATCACGGCGGGAGGCCCTTGGCCCTGCCCCGCCCCAGGGGGGAGCCTTCGCCGGGCCCCGGGGCCGTCCAAGGACGACTCGGGACGATACGCCGTCCTCCCTCCTCCCTCGTCGTTGCCGTCGTTGGCGCCGTCGTCGTCCTCCCTCCTCCCTCGTCGTCGTCGTCTTCGTTGGCGTCGTCGTCGTCGTCGTCGTCGTCGTCTTCGTCGTCGTCGTCGCTGGGGGACCACGTTGCGAATTACGACGGAGTATGTGCTTGGTTTCGTGGAAGCGCGCAATGGACTACGACCAGTGGTGCATCAGCGACGGGTTCCGTTTCGGTTGGAGATTCCCGGCCCCGCGCTGAGAGGGGTTGAGGGGGCATGCCTCTTAGAAGGAGGGTGTTCCTCAGAAGGCGCCGGCCTTACGTCTGTAGACAAGGCCCGCGCCTCCTAAGAAGCAGGCGCCCTCTAAGAAGCCTCCCCCCCCTTCCCTCCCTTCTTCAGGAGGGAAAGAAACACACAGACACAATTAATCGTCGATTCCGCAAAAAATATTGGAAAATATGGGAAGTGGGGGGGAAGACAGAAACCCAGAAAACATAGGAAAATATGGGGAATCGTTTTATTTGTGTGTATTTATTTGTGTGTCCTGGGGCCCCTTCACTTCTGCGCGCCGCCGAAAAAAAAAGTCGGTTCTCTCCGTGGCCAAGTCGGCAGGGCCAGCCTCGTGCTTCGGGGGCATTGTTCCCCGAGCTCCGAAGGACAGGCGCCCACGCCCGACCACAACAGATCATGTTGCCGCGTGTCCGGTCTCCAATCTTGGCATCGCTCGGACGTGTGCATTTTTCCTTCGGCGAGGACCATCGAGGAGCATCCTCGATTATTTGGCGAAAAACCACGCACGAAACCGAAAAAAACACAGGGAATGGACGTCCGAGCGATGGTCTCCATTCGTTCCCCATGACCGAGTCGTTTTTGTCACGGTCCTGGGGCCCGGCGACGACGACGACGACGACGACGACGACGACGACGACGACGACGACGACGACGACGACGACGGCGACGACGACGACGACGACGACGACGGCGACGACGACGACGACGACGGCGACGACGGCGACGACGACGACGACGACGACGACGGCGACGACGACGACGACGACGACGGCGGCGGCGGCGGCGGCTCCGATCTGTGCACGGCCGGGGCCCTCGCGAGGCGGGGCGCTCGCCTCGCGAGCGCGTCCGGTCTCCCGCTGCGAGCGGCGCCGACCCCCGCAGCGCCCCCTGCGGGCGGTGGGGGGCGGCGGCGGCGGCGGCGCCGCCGGCGGAGGGTCCTGGGGAGTAGGTCGGGCCTGGCCCTCGGCAGGGGGGATGTTCACATACAGTCCGAAAGCACTCTGGGGCGATTTTTTGGATTGGTTTTGAACATATGTATATATGTATATATACATATATACAGATATACATATATACATATATATATGCATATATATGCATAGATGTATATGTATATATGTGTGTATATATGTATATATATGTGGAAATACAGGCCTCGGAACAAATTAGTGAACACAGGCCACATTCATCCGTCAATGCCTCCCCCTCCCCCCAGTGTTCAAAGTTGGCGGTGGGTCTGATGAGATGCACTTCGACCGCAGTTTCCCCCGCGCGTGCCAACATTGAGTTTGGGGGGAGGGGGAGTGTTCAGTAATTGTTTCCCTCTACGGTATGTTTGGGGTATTGTTTATTGTTCGTCCTGGGCTTTTTCTCAAGGCGGGCCTGTCCCTCTGCAGGGAGAATCTATTCAAGCATAGTAGGACAAATAGGCTGGAGACGTCTGTTTTTGCTGATGGTTGAACATATGTTGCAGTATTGTTCGGGCACGTTTGATTTGTTGTCCAAAATCCGCATGCAGGGGGGCATGCCCGACCTAATCCTGTGCTTTCTCCGCCCCTCGGGGCGGTCCTCTGATCGAGGGGGGGGGGGGGGGGCAGGCGCCCTTCGGGAGCATCGACGGGGGGGGGGGTAGGCATATAGGGGGGGACGCCCGTTGGTCTTTGGAAGCAGGTGTTCTCGAAGTCCCTGGCTCCAGGTGTAGGTCTTTGGAAGTTCAGGGGTGCTCGAATACCCGTCGGTCTTTGGACCTAGGTATTCGGGTGGGTAGGCAAAGTCGAATAAGAAAAATACGCCATGAACCTAAACTTTTGGAGCTCCGCTCGGATTTCTTGGATCCGCGCTGGCCTCCCCCCCTGGCGGCGCCTCCTGCGCCAAAGAAATCCGCGCAGAGCGCCAAAAGTTTATGTTTATGCAGCTTTTTTTCTCGTTCTACGTAGGTGAGAGGTGAGGAGTACCCCTTGGTCGTTGGTTTGGATGTAGGTATTCGTGAGCTCCCAGGCCCCAATCTGCTTTGGGCGCCTTTCTACTCCTGGGGTCGAGCCCGTTCCCCCTTTCCCTCCCTCCTCCCCAGCGGGCGACCGAAGCTCCAACCCACTTCTCACAGCCTCCCTGCTGCACCCTTCTGCCCCACCTCCTCCGACCGACGGGCAAGGGGGGCGGACAGGCACGACAGGCACGAGGAGGAGGAGGAGGAGGAGGAGGAGGAGGAGGAGGAGGAGGAGGAGGAGGAGGAGGAGGAGGGGAGATGCGTCGACCCCGACTCGCCCACTCGCCCCCGCTGGGGGCACGATGGGCCCGCCCCCGCCCAGCAACGTGCGGGGCACACTGTCGGGGGCCTGTCGCCGATCTATCCGCGACGCATCGCCGATCCCAGGTCGATGTTTCGCCAGGAGGCCCTGGGGCCCCCAGGGGGCATCGCCCTGGGGCCCTGGGGCCCTCGCACAGCGAAGAAGCGACACAAACGTGAACGTCTGGCGATCCGCTTGGATTTCCTGGATCCGCGCTGGGCCCCTGGCGGCCCCTCTGGCGCCGCCCCTGGCGCGCTCCGCGCGCCAGGCAGGGGGGGGTCCGGCTCAGATCCGAGAGATCCGCACGTGCCGGCGAGAGTGCCGTTCTGGTTTCTGTTTTGTCTCCACCTCGGGGTGGTCTTTTTGCGAGGGGCACCGCCACGAGGCCTCAGGGCCCTCGGCGGGCTTTTTGAGGGGGGGTCGTGGGCGCGTGTCCTGGCCCGCGCCCCTGTGGCCAGGCTTCGAGCGTGCAAACACCGCAGCGAGAGGTTCGAGGCTCGGCGTGAGGCGTTTCGCCGTGTTCGGCCCCTGGGGGGCCCGACGGAAAGACGGCCCAAAGTGGAGCCCAAGGAGGGGCCCAGAGACCGTTTGTGGGCGGTCTCGGCCGTCGTCGCCCTTCCGTAGGATGCACCACCATCGTGCCTGGGCAGGACCATCCTGCGCCCTGGGATGGTGTACGGTCAACCCTGATAGTGAGCATGGAGGATGGTCGATTTACCCAGGGTACCATTGCATCCTTGCCTCCTCGGCCATCTTCGGTCAAGCCTCAACCGCTTTCGATGGCCAGCCCCGTCTCGAGGAGGCTCAGCATGGGCGTCCAAGGCCCTTGCAGCCTTACCGCGCATCCTCAGTACAGTCAACCCGCAGGGTAAGGATGGGCAACCTTCCCAGGAGTACCCTTGCATGCTTGCCTCCTCGGTCCATCCTGGGCCACTTTCGTTGGCCCCGCCCCACTCGAAAAGCTTCAAAATGTGCGTCCAAGGCCCTTGCATCTTTATCGCGCATCCTTATGATACGTGCAGACTGTAGGTGTTCGATCATGGGCTCCCTGTTGAATGCAACCGTCCAGCTTTCGAGCTGAAATCCGCCAGAAACAGCCGAAGACCGACGAAGACCACCGAAAACCATCCGAAGACCGCCTGAGGTCACCGACGACCGTTAGAAGACCGCCGAAGACCGCCAGAAGACCGTCAGAAGACCGCCGAAGACTGCCCAGGGCCGATCGGTAACAAGGCGTCCATTGTCGAACACGCAGGATCGAGGTTGGTTCGGGGACCGTTGGATGTTTCTGTGCGACCCAGGGGAGGGTAGTTACTCCCGAATGTTCTTCGATTTGGCCGGCGGAGGTCCTCATGCTCTCGAAGGATGATCTGATACGGCGGGCCGTTCTGAGATGACAGCGGCGGTTGCTGACGGGATAGGGGGGGTAGAAGTGGATGCTAAGGGATATGATTGATGGCATAACCTAGCTCATACATATCAGGAGGAGAAAAAACACACAGACACAATTAATCGGCGATTCCCAGAAAATATGGGAAAATATGGGAAGTGGGGGGGAAGACAAAAAACCCCAAAATCCGGGAAAGTATGGGGAATCTTTTTATTTGTGTGTATCTATTTGTGTGTCCCAGTTCCCCTTCAACATAGGGTGCACGTGCGCAAAATGGTTCAGGGGTGAGATGACTCCGCCAAGTGGGTGGGGCCCAACGCAGCCCAGAGCGTCAACCTCCTAAACCACTCAGGGCACCTGGAACCCACTTGCAAGGTAGGTTCGGCCAGATATAATGGAGGATGACGATTAATAAGTGACCGGGGGTCGTGTTCACGCGGCGGCGCCCGGGATGACGATTAGAAGAAACCGGCCGCGGGCTGGAAAATTGTTTCTTTGTTGTTGTTGTTAATCGTTCTCTTCCAGTCAGAAAGTTATGCAGACATAGCAGAAAACTTTTGTTTTCGTTCTCTCCCATTTTTTATTAATCGTCATCCCGCATTAGATTTAACCACCTCAGCATCCGTTTCTGAACCACCTATCCCTTGAGCAGCCGCCGCGGTCATCTCAGCATACTGTGTGGACCCTCCCGGCCTTGGCCGATGGGGTGCATGCAGGCGAGGTGTTCTGGTCCGGCGCGGGGTGCCCCGGGGCCCACCGGTGCCCAGGGCCGGGCGCCGTGGTGGTGCACAGCTGGTCTTACGTCGGGCAACGTCCTTCTACAGAAGGAATCTGCAAACATAGTTGAAAAGATATATTGGACAGATTTTTCTATTGCTTGTTGACCATTTCTGTTATTATTTTCAGTTTATTGTTATCAAGATCCGCCTGTAGGAGGACATGCCCGACCTAAAGCTGGCCTCCTCCGAAGGACCTGGGCAGCGCGCGGTGGGCGTCGATGCCGCGCGGCTTCCGCGTGCGCGCCTTCGAGGAGGTTCACGAGCGACGAGCCTGTCCACCCAGGTGCTGCTAGAAGTGCCCCTGGCCCAAGCTGCCCTCGGCTTTTCGCTGCACTTGGGAGCCCCTGGGGTCACTCTGGGTCGCGTAAGGGGTGCTCTGGAGGCCGTTTGGGCCCCCCCGAGAGTCCTGGGGACACCTTGGGCCAGGGGCACTTCTAGCAACACCCGATCCACAGGCGTGCTCTCGCGGTCTGGCCACCGAGGCGCGACCCCGTGGACACGGTCCGTGCGGGACATCCGCACAGAGCCGCCTGGTTTCCACGGGGCCGCGGCCGAGGAGTCCAGCCACCGCGAGGCGGTGGATGTGGGACGTGGACACGTCTGCCGTCCGCGAGAGGTGGTCGGGCTCCGCGCCCGGCTCCCAGACATCGAGGGCGGCGGCTGGGTCAGCCTCTTCCAGCCAGACGGCAGGCCGCTGTTCTGGAAGGAGCTCTGGGCTCCCCTCCACAGGCCTCCCAAGAGAGTTTGTTCGAGCGTTGCGTGAAGGGGGGTGGATAAAGAGGGGGTGCGGGGGAAGGTGCAAACTTGCGCGCCTCCTTCTCCTCCTCCTCCTCCCCCTCCTCCTCCTCCTCCTCCTCCTCCTCCTCCTCCTCCTCCTCCTCCTCCTCCTCCTCCTCCTCCTCCTCCTCCTCCTCCCTCCCCCCAGGCGTTCGCTGCCTCCTGCTGCCCAAGGGCCTACCTCGGCGCCCCCCGCCGGGGGCTCGGGAAGAGCCCCTGCCTCCCCAGTTGGGCGCCCTCCTGGAGGCAGCTTTGACAGCAGCAGCAGCAGCAGCAGCTGGAGTTAATCGGGGGCCCCCAAGCGGGGTGGTGACCACACCGTGTGGTGAGTCGGTGGGGATTCGGGGTCACCGCACGGCTTTGGGGACTCGGGTCATTCTCCGAGGAAGTCTCGGGCGATTGGGGCATCCGAGGTCCCAAGACCGTGCGGTGACGGACCGTGCGGTGAGGTCTCTTGGGGTTCCGAGGTCACCGCACGGTCTGCCACCGCATCGTTTCGGGACTCCAAAGTCAAGCAGGGCAGGTCCCTCACAGGAGGAATATCCAACAATAGGACATAGTCTGAGGACGACCTGTTATCATTCGTATTATCATTATCATCATCATTAGTAGTAAAATCATCATATTTATTATTAGTAGTATTAGTATCAATCGTACTATGTTTAAGTATGATTGCTCGCACTACTATTATTTTATTTATTATAACTATTTTATTATCAGCATTATCCTTATGATTATTAGTATCACTTCTGGGTTATTTGAACGCCCCTGAGGGGGCAGACACCGCCACCCCACCATGGGAGCGGTGGCCGCTCCGCGCGCACGAATGTGACATGTTCTGGTGCGGGTGCTGGTGCTTCCGCTTGGAGGCCTCGTGGGGCTTTATGGAGAGGACATTTGGCTCCTCAGCGAGCTCTCTGTCGTATGACCCTGAGCCCAAGACGGCCGCAGAGAGGCTGGAGGAACTGAAAGCAGCGAGCTCTGTGTCGTATGACCCTGAGGCCAGGACGGCCGCACAGAGGCTGGAGGAACTGGAAAAAAACCGTCGGGCTCGTACCAGAAAGCGCGCCGAGGAGAGTCTTTCACATGGCCCTGAGGCTAGGACGGCTGCAGAGAGGCTGGAGAGGCTCAACAGAAACCGTCGGGTTCGTCCAAGGGGGACCTCCGGAGTGGCCCAAAAAGGAGCCGGAATGGGTCAAGTGCGGCGACTTGGGGTGAACGACGAAAACAGGAAGGGGAAAACAACAGTACGGGTTTGTTTGCGGCTCCTGGAAGAGCCCATGGAGGCTCTGAGGGGGCGCCCCAGATGGGCGAAATACGGTGCCAAGAAGGCGACCAGACGGCCCAAGATGGGTCCGAGAGGTTGTCAGGACGGTCGTAGAGAGCATGCCCGGGTTCTAAGATGGCCGCAAGAGCCAGCGGAGATGCACAGGAGTTCCGAGAGAGGCGTAAGGAGAAGTACGAGAAGGCCAGAATCATCAACATCCTATGTGTTGTACGACGTTTTTTGCACGTTGGTGTATTTTGCTGTATGTGGCTCGAAAACAACTGGAAAGGCATCTGAAACAGCCCAAAGTGGCCTGACGGAGGGTGAAAGTGAGCCCAGGAGAGCCTCAGGGGGCCCGAAAAGCTGGCCCAGTGGCCTCCTGGAGAGGTCTCTGAGAGCGCCTGGCGGCGCCTGGAAGGCAAGCACGTGAAAGGGGGGTCGTCTTGGGACGGACATGGCGGCCAGAAGGTGCCCCGGCCGCAGCCGGGGCCCCTGGGCCAGCGGACTGAGCGAGGCGCGGGGAGGACCCCAGGAGGGGTTGCGAGGGCTCAGAGGCAGGGGTAGGTATGAAAAGCGCGCTGGAGAGAAGACTTACACAGAGCACTATTGAAGACCATGCTGTGGATCTCACACGCCGTACCCGGTGGGGCGGCGGATCGCTTCGCCCATTCCGCCGGCCCATATTGTCGCACCGCTGTCGGCTGGCCGAGTGGTCGTTTGCAGTGTGGAGCTGAGGGGGCGGGCGCTGTTTTTTCCGAGTCGTTGCGTTCGGAATGGTGAAAGGTGGGATTGAGGCAGCTCTCGTGGAGCAGCTTCAGGGCAATTCGTCGGACCTTCTGGGGAGTTGTTGGGGGACTCGTTTGTTTTTTTTGTTCACGGGGTTTCCAGGTGTTTGCCGCACTTGGGGCCGAGATTGCGTTCATGGTTCTCTTGGGAGGCTTATCGAAAGCCGCTGGGTGATAGTTCTGCGGCCCCCTGGGGCCTCTGGCAGAGGTTTCTGGAGCCTTTGGGGGCCTCGTGGGTCTTGGGGCTCCTTGGGGCGTTCTGGAAGCCTTTTTGGGGTCCCTCGGGGCCTGGAGGGGACTACTCGGGGTGTTTTGGAAGTTCTTGAAGGCGTCTTTGAGGCTCCCCGGGGGCATCTTGGGGGATCTCCAGGGGCCTCTTAGGGGCGTATTGGGCCTTCTTGGTGCCTCGTAGAGGTCGCTTGGGTGCCTCTCGGGGCGCTTCTGGAAGCCTCCTGGGTCGTCTTGGGGCGATCTTTAATTTCTCTAGGACCGTCTTGGACGCAAAAAGCAAATGTGCTAGACATCTATGTTTTTCCCCATGGGACATGTCAGTTGTTGCTTCTTGAGGCCTTGTTGGAGGGTCGCGGAAGGCAATATTGGATCTGACCGGGACCATTTTGGGCCTATCTTGAGGCATTTTGAGATTCTGTTCGGGCCATTTTGAGACGTGCCACCCATGGATCCCGACTCTTGAGCATTCTTGAAGCTCCGTTGGCGTCACGTGGGGCCCTCCTGGGGCAAGCGTGGAGGCGCCGAACAGCGCCTCGAGGAGTTCTGGTATCCTTGAGACCGCCTTGCATTCGAAACCTGTGGCCTGAGATCTTAGCACGCCTGTGGCCCGCTGGGCCGGCGAATTTTTGGTCCATCCAGTGGTTTCTTCCCTGATCCGCCTGTAGGAGAGCATGTCCGATCTGAGGCTGGAGCCTCCCGGGGAGACAGGTCCGAGGGCCTCCCGGGGCCTCTGCCCCTGGAGGCCTCCGCAGGGGGTCCTCAGAGGCTCGGGGGCGGCACAGAGGGGGGGGGAGGACCAGGGGAGGGGGGGACAATGATAGTTCCCCAGCTCTCATGGCGCCTCTTCCTGTTTCAATGCGTCCCTGCCCCCGCCCCCCCCCCCTGGGCCGAGCACGTGCCGCTGGCCATGTTTTGCGCTCCCCCCCCCCCCCTCCCCCTCTGGGACACCCCTCTTGGTGGCCGCCCGCGAGAGGCGCAAGAGGAGGCCACCCACAATGAGACCTTGCCACCTTGCCTTGGTCCTCGCATCGCGGTCTCCCGACCCCGGGAGGAGCCACTGCCGCCGCCGGTGCTGGAGATCCCCATGGCGGAGAAGGGGGTGGAGGACGGGGGGGAGCCCTGGCTGCCCGTCGTGTGGCCCGACTTCGGGCTGGAGCCACGCCCGAGGCTCGGCCGATGCTGGAGTCGAAGCTCCGTGTGGACTTCTTGGGGCTTGCTTCGGTCCCCCCCCCTGGTGGCGCCTCTGGCGCGCTTCGCGCGCCAGGAGGGGCGGAAACGGCGCCCACCCGAGAACTATGGGCGGGCCTCCGAAAATGTACGCATGCTGCTGCCGCTCGTTGTGGTTCTGTACGGGCGTGGGCTCATGGCCCAGGAACAGTGGGAAACCGACTCCAGCCCCCACAACTATTGATTTGGTGTGTCAACGTGTTGCAGCCGTGGCGAAAGTGCGTAAGTGTAGGCGCCTTGTACGCGAGACCATTGCCGTAAACTTTGTCTGAAGTTCCTCATGTGAGGGGCGGGGGGCGCTTTTCATGCGTTCAATCTAGGGTGCCCCCCCGCTTCTTCGAGGAGGCCCAGGTGGGCTCGAGGGCACTCCCGGGAAGGCCGTGGAGGGGCCCATGCACATGGGGCACGGACAGCACGGGGCAGCGCGGCGACAGGACCCAGCTGCGCTGCATGAGAGTGCAGCTGGATTCTCACGTCCGCGCCGGTTTCTCGTGGAGGGTTTCTCCGAAGGGCTTAGGCGACCCGTCCTCCTCCTCCTCCTCCTCCTCCTCCTCCTCCTCCTCCTACTACTACTTCTCCTCCTCCTCCTCCTCCTCCTCCCTCCTCCTCCTCCTCTTCCTCCTCCTCCTCCTCCTCCTCCTCTTCCTTCTCCTCCTCTTCCTCCACCTCCGCCACCCCCTCCCCCTCCTCCACCTCCTCCTCCTCCACCTCCTCCGCCTCCTCCTCCTCCTCGGATTGCCTGCGGCCCGGGGGAAACCGTGCAGTGTCCTGGGCGCGTGCCGTCGGCGCCAGCATCAAAAGCCCACGGGACCGCTCGCGGCCCCTCGCGGAGGCCCGCCGCGCAGGGGCTGCAGCTGTCCACGACGTTCGCCGTCGGAGCGCCGCGCGCGCCGACCCTGCCCGACCTCCTCTCGCGGATGGGCGGGGGCCGCATGCTGTGCGACTGGTTCCGCACGGACGCCCGGGTGAGGGAGGCGGCACCTGCTGGGCCCGTTTTTTTTTACCACCACCACCATACGTTGGAAGGGGAGAAGGATGAGGAGGAGGAGGAGGAGGAGGAGGAGGAGGAGGAGGAGGAGGAGGAGGAGGAGGGAGGAGGAGGAAAAAAGGAGGAGAAGGAGGAGGAGGGAGGAAGAGGAGAAGGAGGAGGAGGAGGAGGAGGAGGAGGAGGAGGAGGAGGGAGGAGGAGGAGGAGGAGGAGGAGGAGGAGGAGGAGGAGGAGGAGGAGGAGCCCCTCCCTCTCCCTACTTATGATGGTGGTGGTGGAAAACAAGCCCACCAGCACCAGCACCGATCTTGGCCAGGCCGGGATCCCAGACCCCCGACGCCATGATGTTGTCGTGTCGACCCCCAGAGGTCTGGATCCATTCTTCGGGACCGGTGCGTCATCCTGACCCGGTTTTTGGACGGTCTCGAGGCCCCCTGGGGGCCCCCAGAGGCAGACAGGATGGAACAATTTCCCGTCGTGATTTTGGTTTTTGCCTCAACGCGAGGGGCTCATGGGATTGGTGCGCCCTGAGACCCTCGCGTCGCATTTGTTTCACAACGGGGGATCTCTTGCCCTGCTTCGGGCCCCGGGATATCCTCACGGATCGGTGTGGCCCGAGGCATGACGCAGAGAGATGGGGCCCAAGGCCTGCAGGAAGACGTGGTCATTCTTCGCGACGTCGGGTCTCAGGGTTGCATGCGCCAGCCTCCCAGAGATCCGACGCTCCCAAAGAACTGGAGCGGCGGGATTTGGGCCGTTTCTGGACTCTGGGAGCCCTCGCCGGGCTCCGGGGCCGTTGAGGAACGACTCAGGACGACAACCCGGCCCGAGGGGGGTGGTCCATGCAGACATCCGGGGCCCATGCATCGCAGAGATCGGAGCGGCCGGATGTCTGGGGTGGTTGGGCCAGGAGGGCGCGTGCACAGAATCCCGGGCCCCGCTGGCCAGGGTCGGGGTCGGTGCGCGGCCTGGCGTGGCTCCGAGGACACGTTCTCCGGCCCCGCATGGCGGAACCTCGTCACGCACACCATCACGACGCTCCACGACCTCCTGGCCAGGGGCATCTGGAAGATCCTCGTGGTGGAGGCCAGCGAGGCCCGGGTGCGCGAGGCGAGCGCCCTGAGCAGCAAGTACATCAAGACGCTCCCCCGGAGCTCGCTGGTCATCGGCGAGTGGATCCCGCCCGGCAACGCCGCCGTCCGGGTGCTCACCCCCGCCGCCGCCGGCGACCCTCGCCCGCAGCACTTCTGGGCGGACCTCGGGGCCGCCGACGGGGCGGTGCTGGTGCCCCTGCAGCCGGGCGGGCACTTCTGGGTGGAGCCAAAAGGCGGCCACCTCGCCGACGAGCAGCAGGAGGACGAGAATCCGCTGGCCAAGGCGAGCAAGGTGCCCCTGAGAAGCCGCCAAATTTCTCTTCCTCTTCCTCCTCCTCCTGCTGCTCCTCCTCCTCCATTCCTTTTCCTTAAAAATAACTTCTCTCTGTCGCACCCCGTGGCCAGTTTCTAGGGCGGGCTGGGCGTTTCGCCTGAGACTTCCTCTCACCATGTACGATTCTGAAGCTTAGAAATTGGCACAAGCTTCACAGATGAAGGGCGGGTGGTTTTCAAGATATGGCTCTCGCCTCAGCGCGGCGCGCATTTGGTGTAACAATGTGCAACAGTTTCACGGATGGAGCGCGGGTGGTTTTCAAAATGTGGTTGTCGCCTTGGCGCGGCGCACGTTCGTGTTAAACATTTGCAAGAGTTTCGCGGATTGAGGGCGGGTGGTTTTCAAAATGTGGCATGCGGGTCTCGCCATAGCGCGGCGCACATTCGTTTCAAATAATTCTATTGTTTCACGGATTGAGGGCGGGTGGTTTTCAACATGTGGCTCTCGCCTTGGCGCGGAGCACATTCGGTGTAACAAGTTGCAAGAATGTCACGGATTGAGGGCCGGTGTTTTTCACAATGTGGCATGTGGGTCTCGCCATAGCGCGGCGCACATGCGTTTTAAAGAGTTCAAGTGTTTCACGGATTGAGAGCGGGTGGTTTTCAAAATGTGGCTCTCGCCTCAGCGCGGCGCACATTCTTATTCAAGAATTGCAAGAGTTTCACGGGTTGAGGGCGGGTGGTTTCCACAATGTGGTTCTCGCCTTAGCGCGGCCCGCATTCGTGCATTCGTGTGTTAAAATTTGCAAGAGCTTCACGGATTGAGGGCGGTTCCTTTTCAAAATGTGGTTCTCGCCATAGCGCCGCGCACGTTCGTTAGCAAAATGTTCAAGAGTTTCGCGGGTTCCCATCATAAACGCACCAGGAATTGTGTTTTGGAAGGATTCGGGATTATGCGGGTGCAGCAGTTACGCTGGTTCTTTGTGATGAAGTCCCAGGAACGGCGTTCTGGCACGATTCTGGATCATCAAGACGCAGCAGTCAAGTTGATCCGTGGCGTTGGAATCCCGAGAACCATGTTTTGGCATGCTTCAGGGTCTTCAAACTATTGTCTTCCAACGACGCAGTTCCCTCAATAGAGTTGTACCGTTGTAGGGGCCTGTGGAGAGGGAGCTTGGAGGGACGGTTTACTCCAACATCGTTGATGACTCTTGGGTTTACACTGCTCCTCCTCCTCCTCCTCCTCCTCCTCCTCCTCCTCCTCCTTCCTCCTCCTCCTCCTCCTCCTCCTCCTCCTCCTCCCTCCTCCTCCTCCTCCTCCTCCCCCTCCTCCTCCCCCTCCTCCCCCTCCCCCTCCCCCCCCTCCCCCGCCCCCTCCCCCCGCCCCCGATCCCCGCCCCCTCCCCCGACGATGCGATAGAGACACGAGGGCGGAGAACACCGGCCGCGCCGGGCCTGCGGGCGTTTGCCGCCCGCCTGGGTGCCGCGCGTCGGCTCGCCCGCGCTTCCACACACGGGCGGGGCCGCGCTCCGGCGGCCTGCGCGAGCCACCGAGTGGAGGCGGCGGCGTCCGCGTGCGCAAGAGCCGAGGCCCGGAGATCCAACGCTCCAGCAACATCGGGGCTCAAGAGACGGGGGTCAGTGCAAACGGGGGTCAGCCAGGGCACCGGATCCTGCAGGATCCTGCGAAGACCCCCTCCGGCTGACCCGGGTCAGCGGGCCGCTCGTGGCCGCGTGTATTGGCTGAGCCGGGTTTGCGAAGACCTGCGTTGCAGTTTGTTGTTTTTTCCTGCATTGCAGTTTTTGGTTTCCTGGGGTCAGAAGATCCCCGACCGAGTGGAGGCCGCGGGGTCCACATGCGCAAGAACCGAGACCCAGAGATCCAACGCTCCAACAAAAATTGGGGCGGCGGGTTTGGGGCCGTTTTCGGCCTCTATATGGAAGCCCTCGCCGGGCCTCGGGACCGTCATGACACGACGCAGGACGAGAAACCAGCTCCCAGAGAAGTGTCGGACCTCCAGGGCCCACGCATCGGAAACATTGGAGCAGCCGGATGTCTGGGGAATGAGATCCGATAAGGAAATCAATTCTGTCATCGATCTCCTACCCGAAAGAATCGAATGAAAAAACGGCATAAACATGAATTGAAGGCGCTCCGCGCGGATTTCTTGGATCCGCGCTGGGCCCCCCCTGGCGGCGCCTCTGGCGCCGCCCCTGGCGCGCTCCGCGCGCCAGGGAGGGGGGTCCAGCGCGGATCCGAGAGATCCGCGCGGAGCGCCAAAATTTGTTGTTTATGCCGTTTTTTATTCCTGTAAGATCCGCTACGGAAATCGATTCTGTCATCGATCCCCTGCACGAAAGAAGGCACCTTCCTTTTCGCCGCTCAGGTGGGGCTCGGAGCCTCGCACCGCACCTCGCCAATGCTTCGGCGACGCGGCGAGATCTGAGGCTCACGGCCTCCTCCGGCCCCGACGCCACAACTGCATCGCCGAGGCATCGGCGGTGGTCCGAAGAGGAAGGGGCATCGGTGCCGCTCACCCGTCCCTCGTCGCCACGGCTGGATGCGGCTCGAAAGTCGGGTCGGGGTCGGAACGATGCCGTGGAGAGGTCGGGGGAGCAGCGGTATCGGGCACGTCCCCTTTTGTAGGAGGAAGATCCAAGAACAGTTAAAACAAAAGCCTTGGGGTGTGTCGAGTATGTCTTGATGTTCGCCCAGAATCCGCCTGCAGGAGGACGTGCCCGGCCTGTCTCCAGGTGCGGCGCGAGGCTCCGCCCCCATCTGCTCTGGCCCGCTTCGGGCAGCCTCCCAGGTGGACGTGCGGTCGGAGAAGGACCCGGCGAGCCAGATCATCGGGGGCTTACAGCGTGGAGATGCAGTGCAGATAGCGGAGGTATTGTCGCTCGGTGTTTGATCTGCAAGTGATTGCGCTCGTTGTCTCGCTGAATCTCTCTCTCACACCCTCTTCTTTCGTCGGTTTGAATGATGCTGCTGCTGTGGGATGTTGGGGGATGGGGCAGACCTGCATTGCCAATGTGTGGAGCTATCCACCTTTTGAACCTCTATCGAAGTCGCCTTCGGCGAGTCACCGCCGCCCCCTGCCTTCTAAGGTACGCTTATGTGGCGAAATGTTTGGGCACAGTTTGGACACGCTACTGGACCATGCGTTCCCCCAGCTGTTGCGAAAACCCATCGGGGAGCACGTGGGGGAGGGAAGAGGAACATAAGGAGAAGGCGAAGAAAGGAGGAGGAGGAGGAGGAGGAGGAGGAGAAGGAGAAGGAGAATAAGGCTCTTGGGAGATGGTTGGGGCACTCTTGGGGGCCTGTGGGGGCTGCTTTGGAGCCTCTTTGGCCGTCTTTGGGTGTTCCTGGCCCCCATGACGCCGTCGGAAGGCGTCTTGGGTATCTCTTGGGGCCCTCTTGGGGAGTTTCAGGGCCGTCTTTGAGGCCACATTGGGCGTCTTGGAGGCCTCTTGGGCCGTTTTGGGGCCCATTGGGGCCGTCTTGGAAGCCTCCAGGGTAGCCCTGGGCCATCTTGGAGGCCTTTGGGGCCATCTTGGTGCAGTTTCGGGAGCTCTTGGGCCGTCTTAGGCCGAAAATCATCAATTGCCAAACTCTGTCGAAAACCGAAAGGGAATCAATGATTTTTGCATATTTGGGTCCTCCTGGAGGACCTCTTGCGGACCTCTGGGGCTGTCTTGAGCCATCTTGGAGGCTTCTTGGTTGAACTTGGGTGAACTTGGAGGCATCATGAACTCTCTTGGGCTGCCTTGGAGGCCATCTGGGACCATCTTGGGCGGACTTGGAGGCCATATTATGGCATCTTGTGGCACTTTGGGGCGTCTTGGAGGACATCTTGTAGCATCTTCAAGCCATCCGGAGTGGAACAACTCTTGCCAACCCCCGCCTGGAGCTTTTTCTGGGTGGCCGGCCCAACGAGCCGAACCCCCAGGGGGAGTTTTGACCAGGAGGCTGCCAGAAGGGTTCGTTGGACAAGGTTGGTTTCGCTGGACTCGAGGTCCTCCCTGCCCGACCTGAGGCACTCCAGCACGACCTGAGGCGCCCCAGCAGCTGTCAAAATCACTCTTATTGAACCAGCCCCTTCTCGCTGTCCTTGATTGAAAAGAACCAACGGTCTTCTTAAGAAAATTGGCGCACAAAGCACCTCTGTGATACATGGACAAGGGGCGGCGGATCGAAGACGCCTACCTCGAATCACCGCCGCCCCATGCCTTTTTGGAACCGCCCATGCAGCCGAAAGGCGGGCTCGAGCTATCGGACTTTGTGTTCTTCCAGCTGTCATTGAAATCTTTCGGGGAGCACGTGAGGAAGAGGAGAATGAGGAGAAGGGGGAAAAGGAGGAGGAGGAGGAGGAGAAGGAGGAAGAGGAAGACAAGAAAAAAAAAGGAGGAGGACGCCTCTTGGAAGACTCCTTGGACACTATTGGGGTCTCCTGGGAGCTTCGCAGGGGCCTCTTGGGAGCCTCCTTGGGTCTCTTGGAGCCTCTGGGGGCTTGTTCGGGGCCGCTTTGGCCGTCTTCGGACCTTCCTGGCCCGTCGGAGACCGTCTTGGGTGTCTCTCTGAACCGACTTGGGGCCCCCTTGTGGCCCTTCAGGGCCGTCCTGGAGGCCATCCTGGGCGTCTTTGAGGACTCTTGGGCCGTCTTGGGGCCCTCTAGGAGGCCTCTTGGGCAGTCCTGGGGCCATCCCTGGAGATTACCGTGCTGGAGTCGACTCCCTTGCGCGGTACCTGCGACACGCGGCCCGAGCTGCGGCAGCCCTACCAGAGGCTGCTGGCGGAGTTGCCGGACATTGTGCGCCAGAAGTTGTTTCAGGAGAATATGGCCAGTTGGGTGTTTCTGCATAAAAGGGGAAGTGGTGGAGTTGGACCCAGCGAGCACAATTTGGAAACTCGTCTTCAAAGCACCAGGCTCTGCCAGTGCTCTTGAGTTAGTTTGGGGAACCCGCAGCGGCGCTGCCGTCAGGATGTGGGGGAGGCCGTCGGACCCGGCGCAGTGAGTCCAGGCACCGACGGGTACGGCCAAACCATGGCGCGAGATGCTTCAACGGACTTGCGCGCGCAGGTGAACCCAGCTGCGGCGGCGAACCCGGCCATGAAATGGCAGTCGGGCGACTTGTTTCCCAGACGAACAGGTGCTTTGTGCCTCGCCAGAACGCGGACGGCTGTGAGTGGGTGCGCTCAGGGCCGCGTGTCACGTTTGGCGAGCTGCTCATTGTGCTGGACACGACTTACCCAGCCAAGGAGACGCGTCCTACCGCGCGTGCCAGTTGGCCGCGCTCAAGAAGGAAGGACAAGTGTTCGAACAAACAGGTGATTTTTTCGTCAGGCGCTGCCGACGCACCCCCGTGCCTCGGCGTCGCGCGGGGGGGGTTCCAGGGGCATTGGATGCAAGGCAAATATACCAGCGCCGAGAGTCGCACCAGGGCGGATGCTCTCATGGCCGAGTGCGCTGGCATCAACGCCTTGCCAGACGCGCGCGTCTGGGGCGCTGCGCCGCCGGGCCAGCTGCTCGACGAGGCCACTACGTTGGCACACCTCGCGCTCCTTCGTGATCTGAGCTCTCCCTGATTGGAGTAGGCACGTCCCCGGGCTTTGCCAGGGAGCGGGAATTTTGCCTATGTGTCCGGGAAAGCGGTTCGCGATCTGCTTGTGGAGCACGAGGAGAGCGTGGCATGCGATTCTGCGGGGGTCGTCACGCGCCCGCTGTGCAAGTGCACGGAGACCGCGGACCAGTCGACGGGCCAGGCGCGCATGCACTTTGCGACCACGTCGCGGTTCAGGGAGAAACGACCGCCGGGGTGCCCGCCGCGCCCGTGCAGGGATTGCGCGGAGAAGCTGCAGCGCGTGAGGAGTGTGTCAGGCTCTGCCAGCGTTGCTTTACGCGCTTTCCACGCTTCCCCATTGGTCGCAGGCCCGCATGGCGATCCGACGCAGATGTGCGCCCTGGGGCCACTGCGGCCGCTGGCGCATGCGTTGCCGGCCGCGCGGGGGTGGCGCGCCGATCCTTCGCTCCCGCGACGCGCCCGCGAGGGGCGTTCGGTTCCGCGGGCGGCTCCCCCAGGTTAGCACAAGCGCAGCGAAGATGACAGAAACGCATCGCAGGCGCTCAGGGCGCCCAAGTAGGTTGGGGGGCGCCAGGCTCGGCCAGTGCGCCTGCCCTTTCACTCGGGAGACTCTGCCGCTAGCGGAGTCGCGTCGCGCCAGGAATTGCCGGCGCGGCAGCGGCCGCGCCCGCCAGTGCTCGAGCGCGCGCGGACGGCGGCTTCCGCGTGACCAGGGTCGCGCGCAGGACCATGCGCGAGTTGCCCTGCAACCTGCCGCCGCCGCCTGCCGTCGCCGCTAGCGCCGCCGGCCCCGACTGCCATCGTCAGTGAGTGGATCGTGAGTTCGGTCGTTCGCTCGCTGGCGGGCCGTCAGTGGCACCCGTCGAGTGATATCGACAGCGTTTCCGACCGAGTGATATCGATTGCGCTTTCGATAGTGTTGTCGATAGCGACATCGACAGTGATATCGACCAAGTCCCAGGGTGGCATCGGATATCGAAAGTCCGATCGAGAGACGGAGACGCTCGGCCAGACGAGTCCATCGCGAGGTCCATCGACGGTGAATTAGGTAGTGACGTCGTCAGCGGGGTCGATTGTGAGTTCGGCCTCAAGATGTTCGGTTGATTGAGAGGGCGAGAGGGTCACTGAGCGGGGTCGATCGTGTAATCGAGCAAATGAGATCGACAGTGGGCTTCGATCTGGCTATCCACAGCGGCGTCGATAGTGGCCTTGGCATTGATATGGACAGCGATTCCTGCAGTGAGATCGATGAAGCCCCACGTGACATCAGAGATTGATGGCGAGACCAATGCGCAGACACTTTCAGTCAGGCGAGGCCACTCCTGCCCGCGAGCGCTTCGTGGCCCAGCCCATGCCGCCAGGAGTCCAGGAGCGGCCCGATAATGAAATGCGGCGAGAGGGTGAGCGGAGTGGAATGGGCGGAGGCATCGAGCGAGGAAGATGGATGGCGCGACCCGCAGCGACTCCGAAGGCGAAGTCGGTTGCGACAGCACTCGCGAGGGCAGTGGCAAGCCGGCGGGGCGCCCGCCCGCGGGCGACCCATGTGCCCGCCACTTGCATTTGCAGCGCGGGAGAAGCCTAAAGGCATGCACGGGCCCTTCGGTCGCCCCTGCCACCGCGCCACCCAATTTTGCCGCGACGGTGCCATCGGCGCCGCCTTCGCCGCCGCGTCTGTTCGCGGCCCAGGCGCTGTTCGAACGCGCCGCGCCGCGCGCCCCCCGCTCTTCGCCCGCGCTGGCCCCGGCCGCGAGGGCCAGGCTCTGCCGGCCAGTGCGCCTCCGAGCGAAAGACGCACTGAAGAACATGAACAGCGCAACCGCTGACTTCGCGAGGCGGCGCGCCGGCGCCCTCGACCCGAAGGTGGTCGACTATGATTTCTGGCGCGGCGTCGAGGAGATTCTTCAAGCGCGCGCATGCGAGCGCGCGCCTCTGTCCAGCGCCCCCGAGAAGGGCACGCTCGGACTTTTCTCCGCGCGTCGGCGGCGGGCGCGGTGCCAATGTTCGCGGCGACTTCTGCCTGGGAGCTTGCCGCTCCTATGGGGCCAAGAAGGTGGAGCGCGGCGGGTGCCCCGCCGAGGCCGCCGCTCTGCGTCGGAGCCAACGAAGGCCACGAGAGCGCTTCCTGCGAGGCCACTATGCGCTGGCGCATCCCTCCGCGGGCATCGGTTGTCGCGCTGGGCATCGGGGGCGTCGCCGGCCTCTCAAGGCCAGAGCGGTCGCGCAATAGGTCCTGCCGGCGTGGATCGCCGAGCAGTCGGCTTCGCGGGGAAGTTCCTCGGCGTCGGCGATGCGCGGCAGGCGACCAATGATGCGCGGAGGCAACGTCTACAGCGTTGCAGACGCAGAGTTTACATGTGCCAGCCGAGGCAATATTGTGGCATGCGTCTGGCAAGAGGCCCGCACCTACTTCTGTGAAGTGCCTGTCGGTGCCAGAGTCGTCGTGCCTTGGCGTTCTTCTGCCGCGGAAAGCGTCGCGGTGATCTGCGCCGCGGTCGCGCAGGCTGTGTCTCAG